TGGACTGCAAAATCAGCCACTCCCCTCCTTTTGTTACCAAACATTTACATTTACCTTTCCAACACTCATTGTCAGACCTGATAGCAATCATTCCCTATTGAACCACAGGAGTTCTATCCCCCTCACCTTTTATCAAACCCATCTAGACAGGTGGGAAACAATTCAGTGGAGATTCTACCTTTCCCTGTATCCTCTGGAGCTAGGTTCCTTATTGTAAGCTTGTAAGTCAGTCACTTCTTGCCTTTGTAGTCCCCCCATTTTGGGTAGCCAATGTCTAAGTTCCCCTCCCTGTTGACCCAGTTGTACCAAGGGGGTGGCAATGATTCTCACTGTAAAGATTTGTCCGCTCCTTTGTTATACTGCATCCACAAGTATAGGTCAAGCTCATCCACTTGTAGTGGGTTAATCTTATTTTCCCCTCTTCTTTCTTCCTCTATCCATAGTGTTTTTGAAGGCTGGTTTTTTTTTTTGAAAGTAGATGGCCAGGCTTTTCTTACAAGGTGCCTCTGAGTGAACTAACCATTTACAGCATTCAATCCAGGGGCTCCTTTGAATACTGTTATGAATATTCCCCCCAAAAGCTACATGTTGCAAATGCTAACCTTTATGACTGTGGTTACACTCCCATTTGGAAATGGATTGGTTTTGTATGTTAATGAGGCAAGATTAGTATATAACATATTTTAAGTCAATATATTTTGAGATATAGAAGAAATTAAACAAACCAGCAAAGCATTCACAGGGGAAGACTGCCCTGGAAGAGAAGTTGAAAGAGACAAGTTCCTTCCTCCAGAGCCAACAGAGAGAGAAAATCTTCCCCTAGAACTGGCATCCTGAATTTGAACTTCTAGCCTCCTGAACTATTAGAGAGAGAAAAAAAAAAATCTGTTAAAATGACCCACTTGTAGTATTTGTGCTACAGCAGCTCTGTAACTAAGATAACTTAGACAAATAGCTACAAGATGCTAATCATGAAGAACTGAAATTGAACAGAGTTGAGTCACCAGAACATAGAGCAGTTGGGGAATCAAGACAGTCAGGATTGAGTTGCAATTACATTCACTTAGAAATGGCTTTTTCTTACTCATTTTTAGAAATCACCAATAGAAAAACAGTCTTTCCAAGGTCTTAATATTCATCTTATCCAGTGCTTCTCGAATGATCATGTTCATATGACTTAGCAGGGAACCTGTTAAAATGCAGACGCTGGTGCACAGAATCCCGGGGTGGGGCCTGGAGTCTGCATTTCTGCAAGTTCCCAGGTGATGCCACAATGGCTGTTACTGCTGCTGATGTGTGAGCTACACTGTCAGTAGCAAATGATGCACTTGTCACCTGACTGCCTAAATCTCCTCTAAGGTATTCCTGCCAGTGGTCATATGCTCCCCAACCCCTTGACCAGGGCTTACTAGCTCCCAAAGAGCACTTTCATTCCTGTTTTGAAGACCTCTGAGTTGAAATGGTCTTTAGTTGGATTTAGGGCTCCCAGGAAAGAAGTAAATAAGAAAACAACATATACTAGATCTTACTGGGTATCCTCCTCTTCTGTTGATGTTTAACACACATTCCCCCATTTAATTCCCACAAGAAGTCCCTTCCTGCTACAGTTAAGTTCTCAGCTATCGATCAAAAGGTTAGGGGTTTGAAGCCATTCCAAGAAACCATGGAAGAAAGGCCTGGCTATCTACTTGCAGTAAAGTAACACCTTAAAAACCCTCTGATGCACATGGTGCTGCCATGAGTTGGAATTGACTCCATGGAAACTGGTGTGCTTTGTTGTTGTTCTTGTTGTCGTTTGTTGGTTGTTGTGTGCCATCAAGTTAGTTCCAACCCATAATGACATTGTACAGGGTTACTAGGGAGCAGTTGGTGAGTTTGAACCACTGACTTTGCAGTTCAAACCGACTTTTCAGGCCAGCACATTAGCCCACAGCGCCATACCAGGACTCTCCCATAAAACTCCTCCCAGGAATATACTGCTATTATACAGATAAGAAAACCAAGGCTCTGAAAAGGTCAGTGCTTTGCCCAAGATAAAATAATGTGTGGAAGGTGAACACAGGATGTAGACCTGATTACAGGGAATGGCTGCACGGATGCTCTTGTTAGCCTGGGAGAGTGGACAGCTCCATGTACCCCAGGCCCATTGGGGGTGAGTTTCAGTTATGTCTGTGAAAACAGAAGAGACAGATACATTGGTGCATTTCTGCCCTCTCTTGAGTCTTAAAAGAATACATCTACAAAGGGAAAAGTCTGCCTATTGAAGTGTGCCAAAACCTAGGCTCAGCCCAGAGAAGCACAAAGCTCTTTTGAGATGGCATTTGGCAGGGAAGTCACCGGTCAGGAACAGAGATATCCAGGGGCTAGAATTGTTTTCATTCTAGCATCCCGCAAAGAATTGACATTTTCGACGGCACTTAACAACAAAATAACGGAGAATACCACAACTGGGTGGCTTTAACTAATATTTTTCTCTCAGTTTAGCAGGCTACAAGACTTTTTCCCTCTCCCTTGGCCCTGAAGGAAGGTCCTTGTCTCTTTGAACTGCTCCTGGGTGATCTTCATGTTGGCAGGAATCTTCCCCTGTGGCTGGTCTACTGGCTTATCAAATCTCTTTTTAAAGACAGCCCACTTCTACATGGACTTCTAACAGAAGTCATAGAGGTTAGGAGTTACAATCCATGTTGTTGTTAAGTAACATCGAGTGAGTTCTGACTCACAGTGACACTGTATAGGGTTTCTGAGGAGCAGCTAGTAGATTGGAACCACCAACCTTGCGTTTAGCAGTCCAGTGTTTGTTTATCTTACCACACCACACCAGGACTCCATTACACCTGACAATAAATACTTCTTTGGTTGAGATGGCTGCAGGCACAAAGGATGTTGTTACAAAGCAAGCAAATTCATCAGACAGCAGGAATGTGGCCTCCACCCATCTCCTTTTGTATTTCCAGGGCAACAAAGGGCCACAATACTCCTCTTTACTAAAATAACTCTTACAAGACTTCATTGTCCTGTGTACTTGTAGGCTGTAGCCTTAAAGCCCGTTATCCCCCAAAAGAGTGTCTGGTTTCATCAATATTTACCTGCACTCACATGCTTCTGGTAGCATTATGCTTACAAAGGCATCTGAATCTCTTTGACTGCTGGCTCCAAAATATTAATGTAGATTTCCTCAGTATATTCAAATCTTTGGGCAAAGCATTTGGCCGGGGGGTGGCTGGGGGAGGGACACAAAAGGCAATGGCATTTATGTGCTCGTGGTAGAGTAGTGGTTACGACTCGGGCTGCGAATCTTAAGGTCAGTAGTTCAAAACTTCCAGCTGTTCCACAGGAGAAAGATGAGGCTTTCTGCTCATGTAAATATTTACAGCCTCAGAAACCCTGTACAGGGTCGCTATGAGTCGGAACAGTGCATAACCACCACCACCAAAGCTGTCCTGGTGTGGTACTGTGGGTTAATGTGCTGGACTGCAAAGTTGGTTTGAACCACAAGGTCAGCAGTTCAAGCTCAGCAGCTACTCCTCAGAAACCCTATTGCTTTGGGTTGGAACCAGCTTGACAGCAATTAACAGCAACAATGCTTAATACCCACCAGCTTCTCCTGGAAACTGTAACTGGGTTGCTAGGAGTCAGAACCGACTCAACGGCACTTAACAACAATAAAGTTTAATAAATTAAATTATATTTACATTCTGCAATAGGGCTACATGTAAGTGGACTTCTTGACTAAGACATGAACACTGGTCAGATAAACCCTTAAAATAATCCTGTGATGCACACAGGCTATGTGGAGATACCTAATATCTGAAGGATTTTGTTATAAATATGGCTACAGGTCTTTGTTATGAGGCAAAAGCACTTCCTGATTTACATGCAGATTTCTGAGGAGGTCCTTTAAGAGGAATGCAGGAAAATTCTAAAAAATAAGACTACATCTAGTGCACTTTCAGATCCATTGTCACAATAGCCCTATTCAGTGGTACCACTCTAAAATCCCATTTTAAAGATGAGAAAACTGAGGTTTAATGAAAGGTTTCTACGTGATTACAGCTAGGAAGTGAAAGAGATGGAACTTGAACCGAGATCCTTGTAAGGCACCTACCACTTTCTGCCACATGATGCTGCTTCCATCATTAACAAGTCCTTCTGTCCCATCCAGGGGAGTGCTCCATCCAGTGTTCAGGGACAATCTACTCCCAAACTTTTCAGTTGTTGCCTCTGGTTCTGCCCCTTTCAGCTCCGAAGGAAAACTCCAGGCAGAGTTTCTCAGACCCATGTTTTTCCCCACTCCCAGGTGACTCCATGGCCTACCACAATGGGAGATCTTTCTCAACCTTTGACAAAGACACAGACTCAGCCATCACCAACTGTGCCCTGTCCTATAAGGGGGCTTTCTGGTACAAGAACTGTCACCGTGTCAACCTGATGGGCAAATATGGAGACAACAACCACAGTCAGGTGAGTGAGCTGTGAGGGTCCCGGGCAGAACTCAGGAAGTTGGTTGGGGTTGATGGGAGGCCAGTTCAGCCTCTCTGTCCTGGCTGAGTTTAGTAGGCAGAAACCTCAGGGAACAGGACATACAAGAAAAAATCCTGGTGACACTGAAGATCATGTAAAATCATAGAAACAACTCATGTAAACTCTTGACAACCCCAAGGAAGTACTGACCAGGTGGAATCGAAATATGGAAAGCTCTCTCCAAGAAACATTTATCTGTCCTCCAAAATGTAAAACACAGAAGAGTAGACACCCTTTAGGTGACACAAGGAAGAGGTAGGACACGTCCAAGTGCTGCCTTCTCTCCCTGGTAAAGTCCTACCTGGCCTGGCGGGGGGGCAGGGGGCAGCCACAGAACCCCAAGAACACTAGAATGATGCTACAACCTTTCAGTCCTCCCATTTTAAGAAATGAGACTAAGGCCCTCTGGATACTCACTGCCTTGTTGTTGTTGTTAAGTGCCGTTGAGTCGGTTTCGACCCATAGCGACCCTGTACAGGGTTTCCGAGGGTGTAAATCTTTACGGGAGTAGAAAGCCTGATTTTTCTCCCGCGGAGCAGCTGGTAGTTTTGAACCGCTGACCTTAAGGTTCACAGCCCAATTCGTAACCACTACGCTACCAGAGCTCACTGCCTAGGGGATACTAAGTGTCTGTTAGGGGCGACGGTAAAGTTTTAGAAACAGATAATGATGATGATGATTGAACATGATAACACAGTAACTTCACTGAAGTGTGCTTGTGATGAATATTGTTACCTATGTATTTACTAATTTGAATATATATATACATATATACATATATATATATATACATACAAGCACAGAAGAGAGTAGCTTTCTTAAAGTAACAGGGTATCTGGAGTTAGCCAGATTTAAGAGGGTACAGACCTCCATAAGACTGCCCTCACTTTTGATACCAACTGTAAGCTCAGGGGTTTCCCAACAGCCCCTTTAGTTTCAGTGGTTCTCTAGAAAACCTCATTGAAGGTGCTTATCCTCATGCTTACAGTTTATTACAGGGAACAGACACAAATTAGAACCAGTCAGAGGAAGAGACACATGGGTGGAGTCTAGGAAGGTTCCCAAGCTGGAGCTTGGAAGGTTCCCAACCTGGAGCTTCCATGGTTCTCAGAAAACACTGCCCTCACAGTATCAATGTGTGACATGTATAGAGGATGCCAAGCCAGGGACACTCACCCAAACTTTGGTGTCCAGAATGTTTACTGGGGCTTCATTATGTAGGCACAATTGATCAATCGACTGCTCAGTTCAACTCAGTCTCCAGACAGCCCTCTCTCAAGATAAGACAATTGTTATGTGATATGGCCCAAGAGGTCCACTTATGTTACTTCACTAGCATAAACTATTAGCTGTGGTGAGGTGTCCCTGTCTTATCACTCAGTATATTCCAAGAGTTTCAAGGTTACATCACCCTAGCTGAGGACAAAAATCAGAGTTGTCTTTGGAGTAAACCTGGGGGAAAGAGCCAAATTTCCCCACAATGACTGTAGCACAACTTGTTTGACACAGAGAAGGATTTCTAAGATCCCCTCTAAGAACAGGTGAACTAAAAACAAATTCAATAATCTACCTTTCATTGAGTCCAGCCTGCACTAAGCATAAGCCTGAAAATCAAATAGAGTCAAGAGGGATCAACTCTAGACCAGAAAAGACAGTGGCAGTGGCTTAACCACGGACTGAGTTCCTGCCCTGTTTCCTTCTCACTAAGAAGCACACCCCTCCCCCTGCCCCTCAAGGAAGATGGAGTAAGTGTTTGCACAGAGCCACACTAGGCTGACCCCTATACCTTAGGAATTCTTACCAGATCTGCTCCAGAGTCTCTGGGGGGTTTGTAAATCTGTAAAGGTCTATATGATAACCCCAGTGATTCTGATTAGCATCTGGATAAAGTTACCGTAACTATTTTGTTTATTTATGTTTTTTGGTTGGTTGCTTTGGGTTTTATTTTTGTAAACTTCACACCTGACTCTTAACATGCAGCAAGTGTTGAGAACTGTTATTGTCCATTATCAGAAATGCTGATAATAGATGCGCTTATGCGTGAGTTAGCAGCTAGAAAATGATACCTGTCTCCTTATTATGTAGTCTTCATAAGACTTCCACTCTGAGCATTGTTATTGCATCATCCGATAGCTTTGTCTCTTAATATCAGTGTGATACACAGTCCTGGGGGGAAAAAAAATCGCCACACCACAAGGAAACTTCTGTTTCCTTTCTTCCATCTTACTCTGGAAGAAGAAAGATGTAGAAGATCACGAGGAAGTCACAGGAGCTCTGTGTGGCTTCTCTCTGGCTTCAATCTCTACCACATACAATGCAGCCTCTGAACTGAGCCTCTGTCAGAGGAAAGAAAGAGAGCAGAAGGACCAAGCTGTTCAGTTACCGTCCCTCATGAAGGGAATGAGTAATAACAAATATATTTGCTCATTAAATGAACAAACCAGACTTAAATCTCACCTCCCTACAGACTCAAAGACCTCCTAATGTCAGTGGAATTCCAAATCACTGGAACCACATAAAACATTTCTATTTTTCCCTCATTTCCTGAGTCATGAATTCCATGAACATCTTCCTTCACAGCCTTCTGCAGCATAAAGAGAAGAGGGTGCCCTGCCTGAAGTTGAGGTTACCAAGTCCTGAGCTTGCCTCTCCCTCTAGTGGGACAAGGGCCTATTGGGACTTGATGGGTAGACCCTGCCACCTGTGGTCTTTAAACCAAAACCCCATTGTCATGGAGTTAATTCTGACTCATAGTTACCCCATGTTCTACACAGAAGAACTTCAAATAGGGTTTTCAATGACTGGTTAGTTCAGAAGATCACCAGGCCTTTCTTCCGAGGAACCTCTGGGTAGACTTGAACCTCCGGTCTTTCAGTTAACAGCAGAGCACATTAACTCTCTACTAGTTCTCCGCTTCTCTATTAAAGAGTCAAACATGAGTTCCTGGGTGGTACAAAATGTTAAGCACACAACTACTAATTAAAATGTTGGCAGTTTGAACTCACCCAGAGGTAACTTGGAAGAAAGGTCTGGTGGTCTACTTCTGAAACACTCAACCATTGAAAACTCTATGGAACAACAATTCTATTCTGTAACACCTGGGGCCACTAGGAGTTGAAATGGATTCAACAACATTAGGTTTGGTTTTTCAGTTTTTAAAGAGTCTGACATGGACCCAGAAGGCCTGGACACAAATGCGTCTTTACCTGTAGAAAATCTTTGGTCCACAGATACTTCTTCCTAACTGAGGTTAAGGAAGTAATGATTACCTGGAATCTACAATATGCCCTGCTCTATAATTGCTCCTTTGCAAAAGTTATTCAATCTCAATAACTTCCTTTCAAAGCAAGCATTATCGGACCTGAAGGGTTTGACAAAGTAGTGAAACTGAGGCCCAGAAAGATTTAATAAATTACTCAAGATCATTTCACTCTCAATCCTGTGTTCAGGTTGTAAACCTTTTGTTATGGTGGTTGTTTCAGCTTTCTCTTTATTCTTACATAATCAGTGATTTAAATAATACATTTATTTTCCTTTCTGAGGGAAGGTACATGACTATAGCTGCAAACGTTTTCTCAATGGCAACTTTGTGAATCTTTTAAGATCTGAACCTTCCGAGTTTCTATGTTAAATCTATCCTTACAACTCCCTGGATTGCTAAAGGCAGTCTCTATTTGAGTTTTTTCTTCAGAAACTGTACATTCAGAAATCAGTGGGTGCAGGTGAGTTGACTGTGTAAAATGGTCTCTGGTCTCCGTCTGACTGGAAGATAGAGGCTATGCAACATCTCTCAGAGACCTTCCCCTGTTCATGGATGTTCTCCTCAATCCAGGAAACCCCCAGGTTGCAAAATTTTATTTCACCTGTATTCTTTCTACACTTCCATAGTAAAATTTTATTAACATATTTCATAGTATTGGGAATTACAGATCTCCCTGTATAGAGCCACTCAATCCTATAGCTTCCAATTATGCCCTGAATTCCTTCAGAACCTATTTGTTTTGATACCCAGTTTCAAGATTGTAGAGCTCCAGGCAAACTTAGATAATTTCTAACTAAATTAAGAAATTGGGTCCAAATCAGCCAGGCCCTTTGAAACATTTCATGGCATAGATTGATAGACAATTGGGAGAGAGACTGCTATGAAACACCAGATGGTCAAATTAAAACAGAGCTCAGTTCACTGGTTCGACTAACTAGCAATGATTAGTGAATGCTTTTCTGTTTGTTTTGGGGTTTTTTTTTCCCCAGGGTGTTAACTGGTTCCACTGGAAAGGCCACGAATACTCAATCCAGTTCGCCGAGATGAAGTTGAGACCCAGCAATTTCCGAAACCTTGAAGGCAGGCGCAAGAGGGCATAATTTCCAGGGACAACTGGGTAAGAGAGGAGTAGAGCCCAGAGAAAGGAAAGAATTTTACCAAAGCATCAATCCAACCAGTCCAACCAGCAAGCCACACCTAGACATTTGGCAACAGTCAAGGTTCACCCTGGATCATTGGGGCCTCAACCACTCGGCGATTGATTACTTCCTTCGCACCAAAGACAACAGTCTCAAGAGGTTTCTGTTTTGATCCAGCAAAAAATCTTCCAATGACAGCATCACAATGATTTTTACATCCCTTGGGGGGCTCTGGGAACAGAAGAGGGGCAGGCTGTACATTGGTAGTTTGGGTTAGGACCAGCTGTATCTTACACAAAGCTGTATAATTAATTATGATTTTTGTTAGCAATGTTTTAAATGTGTGTCATTGGAAGATGTCCCTGTTTTACATTTCCTGCAACAGAAACCAGAAAATCAATACTGTTTTGATTTTAAGGACATGATTAATATTATTAATATAATAATAATGGTGATGATGAAAACTAAGGACTTAAAAAGAGATCTGCTTTCCAAAACACAGCTGGACAGTACCTGATTGTATTTTTTTTTTTTTAATAAAAGCACAAGTACTTTTAAGTATGACTCTTGTTTTGTCTTCTATCGTTGAGTCTAAATTCCACTAAATTCAATGTAATTGAATATAGAAGGAATGTTGGAAAGAAAGGTAAAAGTAGACAATCAAAAGGGAGAAGAGAAAGAAAGGGAAGATTAAAGGTTTGGTTCACTTTTGGTCACTGCCATCTAGTCAGTTCCATCTAGGGGTTGGAAAACACATTTTGAACCAAGTTAAACAAGATTGGACAAAAGCTTGCAACTAAAAATTCACCTTCTTGTTCAATACTAATAACACTAATGATTTATGGTTTAAAAGATGTTTTAATACCCATTCTTTATTATAATTTCCAAGCAAGGATTACTAACACAAAAAAATAAAATTATCCTGGTGTGGTTTATTGTTAGGTGCAGTCAAGCGGTCCCAACTCATAGTACCATATGCACAACAGATTGAAACACTGCCTGGATCCTGTGCTTGACTTACACTCGAGTCCATTGCTGCTGCCACTGTACCAATCTACCTCATTGGGGTCTTCCTCTTTTTCAATGACTCTCCACTTTACCAAGCATTATGTCATTTTCCAGGGACTGGTCCCTCCTAATAGCATGTCCAAAGTATGAGAGAAAAAATCTTGTTGTCCTGGCTTCCAATAAGTATTCTGGCTGCACTTCTTACAAGACAGATTTGCTTGTTCTTCTGGCAGTCCATGGTACTTTTAATATTTTGCACCAACACCTTAATTCAAATGCATCAGTTCTTCTACTGGCCTCCTTATTCATTGTCCAAATTGCACATGCATATGAAACAACTGAAAATACCATGGCTTGGA